AGTTTAGCTGTTACCTCGTTTGTCCGATTATGAGAAGCGATTCGGCCGTCTTCACGATGATACTAGACGAAAACCAATTCGTTTCGATCTTTCAGAGACGTTGGTGACAGACCATAGGGTTGACAAATGAAAGAAGAATCCGACGAGGAACAGTACGTCTCACGTTTGTTGGGAACTTCCACTTTTCGGAGATAGAATGAAAAAAGTGGTAGTTTCGTAGGAATTTTATTTCGATCGCTGCTCGAATACGTCGCGCAACATCTCCAAGTATCGTCTAAACCAGTAGTCTTTGGTTTCACTTTGGTGTCTCGTGTTTGATATCTTTCTATTTCGAAGGTCGAACAGATCTCCTACGTATGTCATGTATGATAACCATATACGTAAGCGACAGAAACTAAAGATTTTTTACAATTTCTCCTAATATTTTGCCTCTTTTATAAGAGAATCGGTATTCCAAGTGCTACGTCAAACTTGGTCCACGCTCACATCGATTCTGTTGTCCACAAGAGTGCTGTTGCTTTGAGTCAAGCCAAGAGCGGTTCGTCTAATTCTATCTACAATGGGCCCTAGTTCGTTGTTTACGTATTCCTTGAACTCTACGCACTTTTGCCTGGTATTAATATCGTCGGAGCTTCCCCAAAGGATGAGACCGTCGGCACCGAGATCCATGATCTTTCGTAGAGTCGCTTCGAGATCGTCCTGCACAGAGAAATCCATTTCGAAGATCAACCGATTTGTTATCGAGTGACGTATCCTTCAATACCCGAAAATTGTTTTTTACGTAAAAAGACTCACCTTGCTCAAATACATATCCCTTTTATCTTGGTACTTGTACCAATAATAGGGGAGAACCTTCTTCCTAATCGCCATTTGTTTTGCTATTCTCAAGGCTTCTCTGACACGGCCTCCGACGAGACCGACACGTTCACTGCTCGTTAGGCTCAGTCTGAAGTACACCGACGGCAGGAGAACGTCTTCCAGCTCGAACAGCCATGACATTCTGAATGGAGAAGCACACGAGTCTGGTTGGACTTATCGAGAGAACGATTAGATAAGACGGATGTAACTCTCTCAGGACGGTTTAAATTTTCATCAGAACACGATTCTTGACACTGACCCACTTAAAGTCCGAGTGTTGTAACGTCCACGGCCGATTCGTAATCTTGTTACCTTAAATCTCTAAGAAATTTTTTTCACGAAAACTAGAACGCACGATCGGTTGATGAAATTCGTGACGGTACGATAAATGCGAGCGATATTCGCGCACAATGGTACCGATACGGTCGTACGACGGATTACCTAGGAGAGTTACGACATTGAAGATGGTCACGATCGAAATAGAGCAACTTTGTTAATTACATACTTATCGTTTTCCAGCATCGTAGCGCTGTCGCACTGGGAACTGTGTTGATTCGGTGTCAGATTGTAGCAGTAGGGGTAAGCATAGTATCCCCAACTGGCGGACGGTCTGATCTGTTTGGCAGCCTTCAGTGTCTCCTCCATGAAAAGTTTCCCGTATTTCTCGAATCTTCGTTTCGCTTCCTGCTCGACGCTCTGATTGTCCCAGAACGGATGCTCACGACGAACTATCTCTATGGAGAGTTTCTTATAAGGCTGGAGGGAAGCCCAATTCTGTCGGAAGATTGGCCTCCAACTTTCGAAATCGATCACCCCCACACCGTGAAACGATTTGTCTGGTATCTGATTGATCAAGTGCTCCCGAAATACTTCGAGATGCTTGGTGAGATTGCCTTCTTGCGGGACACCACCGTTTCTCGTCACTACCTTTCCTGAATAACGTTCAAAGTTCTTTCCTTTCTCCAATCCATCGATAGTCTCACGGTATAAGGAGCGAGTATTGTTTTACCGTTCGGGTCTGTCAGCAACGCCGGGAACATTCCAGGGTCGTAAAGGATCGCGATCTCGTCACCGCGGAAGTTATCCATCGAATTCTGTAGAATGCCATATCTCTGCGATACTTCTTCGAAGTGAAGCCCGTACTTATGGCACATAAAGGTGGGCACGTTCCAGTAAACGTTGAACTCCCTTACGGTTTCGTTGTTTTTGGGGCTGGTCGGTATGAAACTGACAAGAGAAACGACGTGTTAGCGAAAATCGAGTCTCGAAGGCGCGGCCAATGACACGAATTAGATAAGATATTTTCAGACCTGAACTTGAACGCTTTATGGGTATTTCAGGAGTTACAGGATGCGCTTGCCAACATTCGCGTTGTCCCTTTTACTCTCCGATCTTTTTTTTTTTTATTTTCTGCGGAAAAACGCAACGTGCCCGTTGCAGCACTAGGCCGCAACACGTGTTCCCGAGAATAAGTTTTAATCGTTCTCTGAACGTACGGCTTCTCTAAATTTAAGACGAAGGGTGCGGAAGAGAGCAAGTTGACTGTTTGCAAGGCATCTCAACGATTAACACGTGTGTCAAGTACCCGAGAAAAAATGCGTCGATCCGAAGTACGGGTGCTAGCATCAACAGCACTCGGAACATCATCTTTTCTGTTACGATCACGATAACCGAAAAGATGAATCGAATGCACCGACTAGCGGGCTTGATAAGGAAGAGACGCGTAGAATATGTCCGCGTGAAATCACCCAGCGGGTACTTATTGATTTTATCCTGCTTGCAGATGGGACTAGATGACTTCACGAGGAACTCGTCAGAGGTCTTCGTGAATAAACGTCAACGACGATGGTACAACAGCAGTGCGACTGAATTCCGCTCGATTTCAGGCCACTATTTATTCCACATCGTGTGTCTCGTGTTCCCCACCTACGTGTTCGTCAGCGCTTCGTGCTGTTATCTGCTCCGGGTATTGTTCGGTGATTTCTCGTTTCCGTCTTTTCTTTTCTCCTTTTTTTCTCCTTCGCATCGCGTAAAAGGACATCACGCGTTAGTGATCAATCTTACTGACAATTAAAGTGCATTGAGCCCCCTATGGGAACAGCGCGAAATCGGTACACTTACCTGACCAAGGACCATCCGAGAGTTGAAGGCCTTTGCCGGAGGATCGTTAACAATGTTCCGTCATCCAAATCTGTAGTTCACTTACACAATGCCTCGACATCACGATCGCCCGTAGTTTCAAATCTGCCAGACGCTTTTCAAGGACCTTCGTTGGAATTAATAGCATAGTAGTACTCATACAGGGTGTCTGATAATTAGTCGTGCAAACGCGGAAGAGATGACTCCTCATGAAAAAAATAAATTAAAAATGTAAAATAATGTTTTCGCAGACGAGGCTTTGTATTCAAAAAACAAAAGGCAAGCGATCTTGAAAGTCTGCCCGGTGCACATATACTAGCTGTAAGTTTCAACTCGCAGTAGTAATTAGAAATAATAGCATGCTATTTATATTGTTAACCGTGTTATGATATCAAATAATATAAGAATACTATATGGATGACATATGCGGGTAGCTCATATTTCTACGTGATTCCTGAATTATCCTTTTTCGTAGTGCTTTTTATACATTTTGCAATCGTGTCGAATAGAAGAAATTTTCCAGCGAAGGAAATGAATCCCTTTATCGAAGGACAAGTTTCTATCTCGCGAAATAAATTTGTCTGTGAAGGAAACTCTAATCAAACGTTAATTTTACTTGCGATTAACGTTCGAACTTGAGATGATAATTTTCCTCATACAAACAAAGCAATTTGGCGCGTTTGGAGGTAACGAATGTGTCCTTTTAATCTTAATGGTCGGATTGATTACCTGAAGCATTTTTACAAGACTGTTAAGCTCCCTTTCGTGAGCTTCTTTTGACACATAAAGATAATAACGGTAGGATAACGACCAAGGTAACAATAAATTCCATTCTTCGTCATTAATCATGCGAATAGTACCATAGTAGAGATAAATGTTTGAAATATTTGCCACCTGTGAATATAATTGATTTCACTAGGGAGAGCTAAATTCTTATTGAACATAAATAATTAGCCATTGTAAGAGACGAACGGTAGCGAAGAAGATGAATTTTAATGGAAGATAATACGGCAAATGTCTGTAAAGAATTTGACATCTGTGGAATATTATTGTAGAATTGATCAGCGAATTTTTTACCGCCATGTCGTACGATTAAACATTTTTCCTTGTCATTATTAGTTTGTACAATCGGTATTCACTTGTGTGTGCATTAAAAGATATATTATTTTCCAATGTCATGTTAAATATTTCTAGACAAACATATATTCATAGGGTATCTAGAGGACAATTAATCAAAGTTCAATAAATTAAATCATTTATCAAGAATGAGCACTCGCAATTTAGACAATATGTAAATAGACGATATGTAGACAATTAGAAATATTAGCATCGTAGGTAAATAGAAAAAATAATGTAAATATCAGCTGTTATAATCGCCACGGGGCCATCATTTCGCGCCTTTTATCTTGAAAAGACCTTGCATGTCGGTTGTGCGTATACTGTGTTAAATATTGATCTGCAGCAACTGTTACAAAGACCTCGGCTCGTATTAGGAGCACACGCTGCTCTCATAAACGAATATATGTATATGACAGTCGAAAACGTTTGCTGGAAGAAAATAAAAAGAAATCAGCTGGGTGATGTTTTCCAGAAACGTAAAATTATCTAAAACGCAGCTTGTAAAGATATATATTTCAATGAAGTTTACATTTAAACAACGTAAATTACTTTTGATGCCGTACCGTTGGGCCAGCGGTGTTTCCCTTAATGACAGTCCTTAAAAACTGGTTTCTTTCGGTGTCTTTTTAGTTTTACCGCTATCTAATCGGCGCCGGAAGCAGGTCGCTTGTTATGCAACCACGTGTTTTGAACGTACCGGAAAAGAAAACAGTACCGAAGCTAATGATCGAAAAATGGTGGAATCATTCGTGTCAGCTATAAACGTATCACGTACGATAAGGAAACTTTATTTCGTGCTGGAGTATACAGCTTACAAAGGGGAAATGAGATTTACGATATAAAGTCGGAGAAGGAAGAACGAAGGGGCTAAACAAACAAATGGATCGCTTTATACTTCGATCTTCTTTTATTTAAATTTTTCTTCCACTGTCCACTTCGGCATACCTTGCGGCCTATTTAACCAAAACAGACGCTGAGGGAAATGTTTAATTCCAAATAAAATAACGCCCAAGGAGCTTTATCGAAAATTTTGAAGTAACTCTGCGGTCGACGATACCTGTAAGAAGGAAACTTGCCCCGCATGGTTCTTGTAAATTACTAGAGCATACGATAATTATCTACATTGCTCGTCACGCAGATACCTATATACACGCGTTGCACATGCATATTTTGACCTTGAACTAATGTCATGATCAAGGGTTGAGACAGAGACTCCCCAAAGATAACATCCACGGAACCGGCGAATCCAATGGAACGTGCTACTTTGACTCGTTTAAGGAAATATTAATTTCTTTCTATCGTTCAATATGCTTTGGATGCTCGTTAGTAGAAGACAAAATTATATTTGCTTCCGTTTCCATGTGTTCCTCCTATATTATCCTAATAATATTTATTTCCATCGTTTATCGTCGCTTCCGTATCGTAAACTTGCACGTGCGAAAACTTCTTTTCTAGGCGAATTCGTTTATTTAGAACTTATTGGAGCACCAAACCAATCTTTCCAGGTGTCATGCTAGGACAACGCCAATTATATAAATAATATTGCAGATTTCCGTCACCTATACCAAACTTTAATGGCTCTAAGAACTCTTTGTTGTCCATGAGATCCAACGCATTAAATACGTCGAAGTCGAGCTGAAAATAATATATGAATGATGGTTTTTTCTTATATAATAAAGGTACAAGCAATTACACTTACATTACGAGCCGATATCAATGCATCAGTCATGAGTTCGAGCCAAGGAGTCGCAGTGGATACGTTGTAAAAACTGTATGCAGCCCTGAGAGTTTTGTGTGTCTGGTGATGCATTATGGAGCTCGGTAACGTATAGTAGCTAACCATGTCAGTAATTTTACCATCGTTTTCTACTACAAAACTATTAATAATCCCGTTCTGTGGGAGGAACCAATGTCGGAACTCTTCGATGGAGAAAATCGGAACCAAGTCAAATTTCTCCAAATACTAAAACATGAATGATCTTAATATTCGCTAAATTAAAACATTAACATTAATACTTCTAGCAACTGTAGTATTCTCCTGAAAAAATCATTACATCAGTTAATATTTTATGAGCTTGAGGTATATCTGCTTCAACCAGTTTCCTAAATCCTGGCACTTTTGTATTTTCTGGCAGTTTAAACAACTTTAAAGTTCTCTGCATAGTCATATTGCGAGACAAGTGAGAAAACTTCACTTCAATTAATTTCTTTGGATTGAGAGAACGATGCCAATACCTTTAAAATCGAATTCATAGTTAAATGACAACAAATAGTGATATAATAGTGAGATTGGTTGTGATGCAGGTACACACCTGCAAGTTGCTATTGGTTTTGGCAATACAACACCAGCGGTATAAACAGCCTGGAATATACCTTGAAGATTAACTCTCCTAGTTATTTCACGTATTAATACTGGTGCAACCCGCTTTGACCTCAGTTTCTTGTGCACGCATAAGAAATTTATTTCCACCATTTTTTGAGTGCTGAAATTTTCCTTACATTAGCTAACAGGGGACAGACTAAAAATAATTTGAAACCTACTGATTATAAACACGCAGAGTAGCTGGAATAGCGGAAATGAAACCGACTAGACGTCCGCTTTTAGTCACACGTACCCCACAGTGCCATTCTTTGCACCATCCAGGGGATTGCAGTGCCCTAGAAACATCTTCTATTGAGTACTTAATTGAACTAAACTACATTATAAATTTCATTAGTTGATATTTTGTTTACCACTTTAAAAAATTAGGTGGGTAATCAAATCTAAACATAGCATCGTCATCTTCCACATAATTCTCAGACAATAAAGTATATAATTCTGACAAAACTAAAGGATCATCAAGGTTTAAAGTATCCCATTGGAAGTCTGCTGGTAATGAATAAGGTTCTGCCCTGATTGATGTTTTGTCAGATTCTATGGCTTCATTTTTAACTATTTTTTCATCTGTAGAAAATCTTCATAATATAATCTGGTCAACTTAAAATTATTGTTTACCATCGTGAAATGTAGATCTTAAATTGTTTACCCATTTTTGGTACTGGCTGCGTACTCCAAAACTGATAAGGCTTTTGCATTGCCTCTTCCTGAGTTTTAGCAGGTTTCTGCTGTATATTAAAAACCTCCATTGCCATTTGGATGTCTTTTATAGAAATGTTACACGTGCTATGCATTTCATGTTCATCTCTGTGGCCTGTGTGGTTGTGATTCTCACCAGTGGCATGCGCCATCTTGTTCTTCTTCTTACGATGTCTCTTTTTTGAACTAAATTACAAGTATTATCCTTTTATTTCTTTATGCGCTATCAGTAAAAGAAGCACAACTCACACAGGCATACACAATGCAAGAATAAATTAAGAATGCAAGAAGCAACAAGAAAGGTACAGGATACATTGAAACTTTACATGTTGAAAATATCTTCAAGGATAATAATATTTATATACAGGAGACACATTAAATATTACATACGATTATATCCTTATAATATTGAACACTTATAGTGCTATATATACCTAGTTTTGAATTAGTAGGTTACTATGACACATAAACATAATTCTAAAGTATCCAACTCAACTACGGGGACAAAATATAATAATATGAGAAGCCTTTTATTATTTCAAATTAATAATAAAATATTGTTATTGATAATTATATAACGGTTAATAAAAAATAACATTAAGTTACGTCTACGGTATTGCCGGTCATCCATAACTCGTATTCAAAGTGAATCGAATCAAATGCTCTCCAATCATACCAATTGAAATTACACGGCAAGTACTTCGTAGGAATCGAATGAACGTTCGCTCACCTTTTAGATTTCCCATCTTTTTCGTGAATCTCATCCTTCTTAGCCTCCCGTTCCACAACTTGACTCTTTTCCTCCATTTTAATATAGATTTTGATAATGCGCATGCACATGACATGGTGGCTCCCCCTAGTTGCGCTTACACGTAGAATAAACGGGTCACGTGATGTACGCCATGACTGTTCCTTCGAAAAGTTGTATCGCGTCGGTGTGCTTAAATTAATTCGATTCTTTTAGTAAAAATTTCTTTATACGCCAACAAATTACTCTAAATAATTTTTATACAGTGTAGGGATCGCGAATAGTATAAAGTTTTTGATCGGCAAAAGAAATTATACGCGTTTTCTTAAAAAGTATTTGGTACGCCTAAGAGTCGTTCTATCTCGTAGTGAACGCGCGTTAGATAGAAACAAATTTCTCGGACCGTTTATCTGAAAACTTCGAAATTAGAAAATACGCGTTTACAGTAGTTTGGAAACGTATTAGCGGTTTCATTGACGAGATTGAGAATGTTTCGAATCGACTTTCCGTGGAAAAAGAAGCGTGGGAAAATTCGAGAACGCGGGATTTTCAAGCAGCGAAGGAAAGCAATATGGCGTCGGCTACGCAGTAAATTTGGCGGGAATGTTTGGCGCCGGTTTTATTATCGATGTTATCTCTTCGAATGTTTGTCAGCGTGTAATGTGAGTCAAAATAACAATCAATTAATTTTAACGATATCATTTATTTTGTTTTAAACCGTATTGTAAAGCCAATGAAGATAGTAAAATGTATTTTTATAAACGAATAAGATAGACAAATTTGAGGATCGGAAAGTTACTTATAATTTGATTAAGTAATTAATCCACCGATAACTGATTCCTAATTGAAAGACAATTGTATTTGACTCTAGTCCGTACACTATTCATTGTCTTTTTATCTTGAAATCAATAGCACTTTTCAATATCATACAATACTACTCTAACGTGGTTTCATTTTTTTTTTTTTTGCATATATTTTTAATATTATATAATTTTCATTGAATTATACTATACTATATTATTTCAATACTGTATTCAATACTAAATCATTACGATAACACGTAGCACATGGTGCGTTATCGTTAGATCGAATATGCTTTGCATAGCACAAATACATTGCATAACATACATCGCATAAGCACATGTCGTGCGTTATTGGTTCAAATGGATCAAGGAATTCGGGTTGTAATAAAAATTGAAATTAAAAAAATTTGAGATTCATATACTAAAATTATTCCATTGTGTGACAGTCTGACAATTATAGTCTTCTTTATTTCATTACCAACAGTATTCTTACATCTTCATGCCGAAACAATGTATAATTTCTATATCATAATATATATTCATTTATTCATTTATATATTTATTTATTTATTTATTTATTTATGTGTATAATTGTTAATAATTGTAATAGCAGTAAATAGTCTGTAGTAGGCGAGTTTGTAGGTATGTAAACAGCTTTTAGGTACGCGTAATTCCAGTTTATCGATAATTCAAATCCCGCGTACGTCCCGTTCGCATAATTTATGATTTGCATATCTATTTGTCAAACTGCGGGCAAGAGCAAACTCCACGATTTGCTAGCGTGCCGCGATATTCCAATGTTTTCTCTTTCTTTTTTTTTCTCAGCTTTTCTTAAGAAACCCGATATCCACGGAAACTGAACGGTTCTTGCTTCTGTTCGACGATTGAACGATAAGAGTCGAGTGGAAATTGATTTTCGAACGAATCTAATCTCGCTTTTAGCGCCAGATTTTCTTCTCTTTGTCATAAATTCTGCAAACTGGCTGGTTCAAATATCCAACTAAAGGAAACTATCGCGTTCTCGTTTTATCAAATGAATTGACAATTAGGATAATTAACGCTTTATTAACACAAGAGAAGTGTTATTACGGAAAAATAAGATGATACGATAGAAGTAATATTATTACGTGGGAATAATTAGGAACTTCTTTTCGCCTCGGATACATAATTAGCGATTTCTTTGAAGTTGCGCGCGAGCAACTTAATTAATTAAGAACTTTCCATGTAAATCAACATTCGCTTCTCCGACTCGAAGAAAACGAAAAACTCGATTGTTCCGCAGGACTAGTTAAACATTCGACCGAGAGATCGATGTCCAAGTAAATTAGGTCTGACGGTGTACTCGTCGAGTCGCGAACGAAAAAACCGTAGAAAGGAAGTAATAGAAAAGGTTTGTTATTTTATTTGTCGAATGAAACACATGGTCGTGAATCGTACGGGGAATTCGCGGCTTCAGTGAGCAAGTGCCTTGAGGACAACGATCGATCGTTGCTCCAGCAGGTACTGAAATTCAGAATGAATCAGCAGGGAACAAGCAGCAAACGTTTCATTTGTCTTCCCGCGTCTCGCTCTTTTTTCCACCTCGAGGAGTCGAAATGAAATTCCGCGTGTCGAATCAGGGCCTTTAAAACACGAAAAACAATACGGATCTTCACCCCCTAATATATATCAGCGTTGACTGTTCTCGATCGAAAATGAAATGCCCCTGTAAAATCAGCTGTATGGAAGGTATTTGAATTTTCCTCGCTCGCTTTGGCACTGCAACTCTGTAGAAAGTTTAATCCGTAAACTCGAACTTACATCTTAGTTTCGCCTTGTGTGTGTGTGTATTTTCATTTTTTCATTTTTCTTTTCGTTTTCTAACAAGGCATAGGCAACTACGCTACTACGAGAAGAGAACAATTCCTTTTTCCATCACTGAGAGTCTTTAAAACGGCCCTCCGTTAACTATACATGCTTCAGACAGCGCAGGATTCTCCCGGAGGATCCTGGCGACATCTCTCTCTCTCTCTCTCTCTTCGGGAGACGAGTTCGTACTCTTCGAATCTGTCAACGAAGAGAAAGACGAACAGGCTTCTAATTTCCCTAGCTTATCTTACGCAAAAACACTCGCTCGCGCGATAATAGTACACGATTCGCGATTTACTTCACACCATCGAAAAACAGAGACGAGACGGTGGAAGCTGATTAATAGAACACAGATTTTCCCAAAGCTTCGACTCGAGAAGCACGGAGTCGCGAGTACTTTTACGAATAATTTTTCCTTAGGACTCGAGGACTTTCTAAACGTTCGAAACATGGAAAGTGTAGGTGTAACAATGACAGGATATGCTATCAGTCGAGAAGAGATGAGAGTATACAAGTAGGACTAGAGTCGCTTCGTTCGATAAGAAATAGATGGATTGCGAAAAAACGCGTTTTATATTCTCGAATCGTAACTCCGGTGGGGGATAATTCCCGAGCTGCCTGGTGCACGGCTGATGTCTTCTAACTAGAGATTCTTCCGTGGTGCTGCTTCCTCAGCAATGATATGCATAGAAGAGTGAGGCCATGAGCCAGAGTGCGCCGCCCCCGTAGAATCGGCTGCCCTCGACCCCGTTTCTACCGGGTCGTTTGCGTTTCGACTTCGATTTGGCGCGCCGTTTGCGCGAGAAAATGGCGTTGGTGGCGTTGGTAGGCGACTCGATGTTGCAGTAACTCAGATCGCAGCAGCTGATGCAGATCTAGAACGAAATAACCGAATTTATTTCACCCGGTCGCGTGGCTTCCTCCTCTCTTCCGTGAGAGAGAGAGAGAAAGACAGTTGGCAACACGAACTATGTGTATGCGGCTGACTAGATAGAGAACAGTCAAAAGAGAGGGCAAGCCAGGCCAGGATACTTTGAAAAAATTCGCTATTTCGCACCTGCTGCGTGTCCACTGGGATGCAACCGACCGAGGCAGGTCCGCATTCCGCGCTACTCACGCAGCTCTTGCTCACCTGAAATATAAACGTGCTTTTTCACGGACCATTGTGCGTCAGGGGCATGTTACATTCGATGCGTCATCGTTTTGTATCGGCTTGTTGATACGCTCGTTCTCATTTTCTTCACGATGCAACGGGGGCTGCTTTATTTTCTATCTAGCGATTGTCAAAGTATCGATTCCCGGTCGTTAGGATCTACGTCGTCGATCTTTTTCTCACTGTTTAATTCTTAGATGTTCGATTTCGCGTACACAGAATGTTCATCTCGGCGATTGCTACGGGTTTTTTCCGCTTGTTTCCCTTCCTTTCTTTCCGAGCGTTCTGAAACTTTAGAGAGAGAAAGAGAGAAAAAAATGAAAGGAAAGAAAGGAAAAGGAAAATATCACGGAGGCTTCACTCGAGTCTTTCGTTTGAAGCGAACGAATCGCCGCACAGTCTGAAGCCACTGCTTGGAAAACGCTTTGTTCCGCGTCATCTGCGAATCTTCCCACCATATCGTTACGTAGATATTCGCATCTAAGAATCAATTAATCGATGAACCAACAAAGCCGAGAACGCGTGGAAACCGCGAATAGGTGAATTGATAAGCTCTAATTGATTCCGATGTCCATAATTGAAAGAGTTTTGCAAAGTGCTTAGTCGGTGGATGCTCTTAAGGGAAGCCATCACTCCTCCGCTGTGAATTCAGTTTCGCAAGTTTATCCATTAACAAACACGGAAATCGATAATGCGTTTAACGCTGGGAGAAGCTATTAGTGGGGCTAGTGATAAAATTTCGGATTGATCTTCATCGGTGGCAGGCGCATCGTGCGTACAATGGTTTCGTGATGAACGTCGAACGTGTCGATTTTATCGTGGCACCGCGGCCGCGTTTCAATCAACCCGTGAAACGAGAGAACACATCGAAGGAAATCCCAATTTCTAACGTCTTCTAATCCTTCTAATCCCAATGAAAAGGAAGGAAAACGTTCGCCCGCTCGTTTTTCCTACTTTCGTCGCGTCTTCGATTTAAATTATTCTTCGATGGTAAATTACATTAATTATGCAAACTTATCCCCGTTGGAATTGTGAAGCAAAAGAGGCAGAGTTTCTCCATCGTAAGAAAGGAAAGGATCGACACGGCCAACACTCGAGTTGCAGTTCTAATACTTCTTGGCAACGACAGAGTTAATCGCGTCGACTCGAAGTCTTCTCGTCTCGAGGAGAAGGTCAAGTGTTAGGGGAAGAAGAAGAAGAAGAAGAAGAAAAAAAGAAGAATTTGTGCTTGCCAAGACGCTATTTCCCCGGCTGTCCAAAATGTGCAGCGATCTGCAAAAGTCTCGGCCACCCGCCGGACACGGTGTATCTATCGCCCATTCGTTGCACATCTGCGAACAGAGGACAGAAAAAGAATACGATAGCTGTGATATTAGCTGGAATCGGAACATATATAACGTCGGATTCGTATATACCGGTCGACGTATTTGCATGGTCATCCGGTCGTTACTCACCAGTCTCGATCAATCGCACGAAAGTTCGAGGTTAGTACCACGGTGGTTCGATATGGGGGGGG